AACGGGACAAAGTCTGATTTCAAGAACTGTTGCTTTACTTTCTCATTCCAAAGGAGGCATTTCTGTATCTTCTCAAAATAAGATAATTTTGCTGTGTCCCGTTTGAGAATCGGGTCAGAATGTGCTCATTTTAAGATAAATGTTGCCAATGTTTGATTTATTTTTTAGAAGTACTTTGTTGATCTCACAAATGGAGAAATTCAGTTTGATAAATAGTCATGTACGTATATCACATCAAGGCTTGCAGCGTGCCATTACCGCCGCGCTTCTTATAGGCAAAGTGGGATAAAGTGTCTTGCCCAAGGACACAACGACAGCAGCGGCAGTCGGTGGAGAAGGTCTTGTGGTGGACTCGACCCCACAACCTTCAGGCTCTACCAACTGAGCCGCCATCATCCCTTTTTGCAGCGTTAGAATCTCAAATTCAGAACAGTGCCATGTTCATGTCCTTCTCCTGTTTCTGTAGAATTCATTATTTTCAAGGGTCATTTCTTGCTGCGTTGAACATAAAGCAACGATTCAGTAAAAAATGCGGCGGTTTCGAGTAAAAAGCAACAACGGCGAACTCTAACGTCCTTCACTTTTCAAAATCCAGGTCTCATCTTGAACGTGACTAAAACGATAATTATTAGTATTATGTATTTGTCTGTGCACACTGGAGACTTTTGCTAATGTATTCTAATGTGTTTTTTTTTACTACAAATGGCAAATAAACTGAATCTGAATCTGAATATTTGTAAGATGTCGTAATGAAATGAGGTTTCTATGCAGAGACTATGCTCCCACTGATGTCTGCTGTTGTTGTGTCCTTGGGCAAGACACTTAACCCCACTTTCCCTGAAGCCCCTGTGGAAAGACCAAGGCCATGTCCTGCAGGAGGATCACAGGGACTGGTGCTGTGAGGCTTGTGTCTCGAAGCAGAAATGGAATAATAAGATCAGATAAGATAGACTTTATTGATCTCACACTGGAGATATTGGTCACATTTGGCACAGATAGAATTCAATAATAAAGGGGAAGAAAACAGGTTTCTATATTGACGCAATTAACACGTTATCCAAGATCCCAGGAACAAGTTAATGCCTCTCAAAGCCGGACCCCACTTCAACACGAGGTCTGACAGAGTGAAAGTGCTTCAAACCCAAAGAGAACACGGAGCTCTTGAACGCAGCCCTGTTTACTCTGAGGCCCTCATTATGCATCATTTGTTTTGCTGTTAGCTTCACTTTGTGCTGTTTGTCAGAGACTTATTAAAGATGCATGTGGTGCGGGGCCTCTCCTGGCGTCGCGGCCCCTCCAGAGAATGATGCTAAACTAATTGGTCTGAACGACTCTTGTTTAAGTCACGGTTTAACGTCAGCTCGGCACAGAAGCAAAGACCGACGGGAACCACAGCTACGAACTGGGAATGCTACGAGGGAGAAACGTGGATGTTGGAGATGTTTTTGCAGTTTGCAGATAAAGGCATTGTTTACATTTGTTTGTGTTCACTTCAGAAATTATACTTTTTAAATCACTTTCAAAGCTGTTTTACATCGTCACTAGATTACGTTATCATCAGGGACTTCTGGGTAAATATTGTGCGTCTGTCGTCTCATGGGGATCTGTAGCAGTACATCTGAATTAAACAGCAGTAATACAGCAAACATTGATTTTTTTTTGTTAAAACAGGGCTCTATGCATCTGTACTTTCACTTCAAGTGTTTAGCGACTGTGTTTCTTCTAATTGAATCAAGGTTGAGCAAAAACGTTACAAAAACAAACGAGAAAAAACTGGAAAGTGCAGTCCCGATGAAACGCACTAAAACCAACCCAAAGTCATTGACGTCACTGGTCCTGGATGTGTTCAGACGAACAGAATGGCAGACCCAAAGATGCAGCTGACAGGATTTATTAAACAGAGAGTGGGGGGTTCCTGGGAGGCAGATACAGAGAGGTATAGACCGGGCTTTGGCAGGAACTGGAGCTGGACACGGCGAGGACACGCCGAGGACACGGCGAGGACATGAGGAAAAAACAAAACACGGGTAAGTAACAGGATCAGGTAAAGTTAAGTAGTTAAAAAGGCTGAGCGTAAGCACCACTTCTCGTCACGGAAGGATCTGGCGCTGGAGAACAGGTCTGAGGCTTTTGAATGTAGTTGATTGGTGCAGGTGTGAAGCTCCACAGGTGCGAAGCTCCACAGGTGCAGGTAACGAGGGCTCTCTCAGGAAGGGAGGAAACAGGAGAAAACAGGAGGAAACAGGAGGATTTTAAACGGAAAACAATGGAGAGAGCGGTCTATGAGCCTGTATTTATTATGATTTATACGATAAAAACAATCAATATGAAATACTAGGAGTCTGTGAGAGTGGAGTTGTTCGTCTCTGACAATAATAAAATAATATTAATAAAACGTATATAGCGTTGTTTGGGACACTCAAAGACGCTTTATAAAACATGAAATAAACATAGAAGAGCAAAAAAGACGAAAAAGTGGAAGTGGGATTTGAAGTGAGTC